CATTTCGGAAACGACAACCTAGTAAATCAATTATCAGTAATCAAAAGCAAAACAGTAATCAATATGTAATCAATCGGCAATATCCATAATAATCTTATATCAGTTATTATTTTCAACTCAACAATAAGAATGCATGCATATATGTTGTATAGAAAATTATAACATTAATGTAATGTTACTGTTTATCGGAAAGTCGTTCGAATCCGGAAGCCTCGGATGTAAATGTCAGTTACATTTCCTTCCCGAGTACGCCATCACAAGTAAAGAAAGAAGAATCTGACAATTAAATTAAACATACTAGCGATATCTTACTAATAAATTACTTTGTAATGCCGCGGCGAATGAAAGTCACTTAGAGATTTATTATTTGACTCGACTTCGTCGAGGATAAAACTGAATTTTTGCGAATGAAACATTACAGTGCACGCTGCTTGTTCGTGCCTAAAATGATCGAATGATACGTGAACGACTGACATAAATGGTACCAACGTCGTCCACTTCTACTTGAGATACGGTGACTTCAGTGGGATCGAAATGAACTGGAATCACAAAGATTATATTATATGAAAGCAAAAAAGTTGTGATGATTAAGCAAGAACGTAAAAAGTCGCGCAACACTAGCAGATCGAAATAGAATGGAACGCAATATATATCATTATTTCACAAGACATCACAAGAAATATTGTCACCCGAAACTACAAAAGTGAATGTTCCACTCAAGGTTAAAATGAATTTTTATTCTATATGAAAGAATGTCTCAATTAGTTAGAGTGAAATAATCCTATAACGGTGGAATGCATTAGATACACACTTTAATTTTTAGAGTAAGTATTCACTGAACCATTCGAACATTTATTCTATAGGAGTGAAAAATCATTTGAATTCGAGCGACTTGGCTGTCATTCTACTTTTCAAGCCAAATTTTATTCTAACATTTTAGAATGTAATTAGTGCAAATATAGATAAATGCAAGAATTAAATAGAGTCGGTGCTTCTTTTGTAATACAAATAAATTTTCACTTGCTTATTAATATAAATATTAATTTATTTATAAAAATCTTTAATAATATAAACAAAATCATATATATATATATATATATATATATATATATATATATATATATATATATATATTAGGTTTGCTTCCGCCGTTTTCCTATAGATGGCTTTAGCGATAAGTGGTGGTCGAAATAAATAGATCATAGACGTCATACAATAAACTTGGGCATCTGTCAACATAACCCCATAGAAACATTAGTCGATTTGTGTCTATCGTAAAGTTATTCTCGATTGAAAATGTCAGTTTATGAGCCCAATTCTTGTCATTTGCGGGAGGTTTTAATTTTCTGTTTCAATATGAAGAAATCTGCGGCTAAGGCTCATTGAATGTTCTTAAATACTTATAGTGAGGCCGCTATTAGTGAAAGAACGTGTCGTGAGTGGTTTCAACGCTTCAAGAATGGTAATTTTGACGTCGAAGACCGGCATAACGGTGGAAGAGAGAAGGTTTTCGAAGATATAGGATTGGAGGCATTACTTGATCAAGACTCGTGTCAAAATCAAAAAGAATTGGCACGATTATTGGGAGTGACTCAACAAGCCATTTCAAAACGCCTCAAAGCCATGGGAATGATTCAGAAGCAAGGAAATTGGGTGCCGTATGAATTGAAGCCGAGAGATGTTGAACAGCGTTTGTTTGCTTGTGAGCTGCTTGAAAGGCAAAGACGGAAGAGATTTCTGCATCGCATTGTGACTGGAGACGAAAAATGGGTTTATTACGATAACCCCAAGCGCAGAAAATCATGGGGAGTTCCCGGCCATGCTTCCACCTCGACGCCCAAACCGAATATTCACGGCTCCAAGGTCACGCTCTGTATTTGGTGGGACCAGCTCGGCGTAGTATTATGAGCTGTTAAAACCGACTGAAACAATCACAGGCGATCGGTATCGAACGCAATTGATGCGTTTGAGCCGAACATTGAAAGACAAACGGCCGCAATACAACGAGAGACACGATAAAGTGATTTTTGCAGCATGACAATGCTCGATCCCATGTTGCAAAAGTGGTCAAGACATACTTGGAAACGTTGAAATGGGAAGTCCTACCCCACTCGCCGTATTCTCCAGACGTTGCTCTTTCTGACTATCACTTGTTTCGATCAATGGCACACGGCCTGGCTGACCAGCACTTCCAGTCTTATGAAGAAGTAAAAAATCGGATCGATTCGTGGATCGCCTCAAAAGACCAGTTTTTTCGACGCGGGATTACGCGATAGATTTTCGTACGCTGCCCGAAAGATGGGAGAAAGTAGTGGCCAGCGATGGACAATACTTTGAATCATAAATGTATAACCAGTTTTTTGCAATAAAGCCTCGAATTTCGGAAAAAAACGGCGGAAGCAAAGTCGTGCATCTAGTACTTCAGAAGTTTCACATCTTATATATTCGGAGACTGAAAAATTTGGAATATGGTACTGCTTCTATCATATAAATATGATAACAAAACAAGATAATTTCGATAGCCTTTCGATACCCTAATTTCGATAAAGTGCTTTGACAAATAAAAAAAGTTACATTCATTTATTAATTCCTTCGAAGTTGTATACAGGTTTCATATTTGCGTCAAATTTTAAGTGTTTTTCTATTTCCTTTCAAACAATAATTTTCAAACATCTACCAACAATCTGCAATGCAAGTTTGAACATTAAATCGGCTAGATATTGAAAGTGCAACTTAAAAATAGTTGATTTCTAGATATTTTAGTATTATTATTGAAATTTGACATTCTTATCCTATGTCCGGCCTTTCCTATTACTCGATCCACTGTGCGCCGTGGGAGAGGAAGAACCCTCGCGAGAAGCAGCGGAAAGACCGGTTGTCTTAGGTGAATCGCTTCCGTAAATAATAACATTCATTAGAGACCCACAAGGTGGGACACTCTAAAAAGGCCTGTTTCAGCTAACACCCAGGACGTCGAGAAGGAGCTGCCGAAGTGAAGCGGTCATAAGCTGCCGCGAGGAAACCGCGAGGACGGAGTTGATGGACACCGTGGACGAGCGGAGGAGAGTGGCCGCCCGGACAATGCCGGTGAGCGCATTCTCCGCGACCCGAAGCGTCCTCCGAACCGCGCGAAGACGCCGCAAAACTCGAGGATCGCCAAAAACAACGGCTGCCGAAGGAGCAAAGCCAAGGTCGGAACGGCCAAGAAGCTTAGGGAATTGACGAAAAGCAAATAGTCGCTAGTAACCAAAAATGGAAAATGGGGGATTCCATCCGACCAATGAGAGGCTGAAGGCTGTCGGAAAGCTATTCAAACCTAGGATATAACCGGACTTCAACGATCGCTGAGGAGCTTCTCTCGTAAAGGACGTGCCATCCGCGGAGTCGAGAAGGACACCGAAGATTAACGAACGACGATCCGTCATCCTCCACCGTAAGACCGCTACTGTATCGAGTAGAGATTTTGTGAACCTAGAGGGACCGCCGCTTTCTGCTGCCGACTGCCCCATTCCGCGAGCCAGGTTTTTGGTGAGTCCGTTCGATTTTTAGTTATTAATCGATGATTTTTAGTTATTGATTAGATAAGATTAATATATTATTACGAACAATCATCAGCTAATCTTCTTTAACACGTTAAACGCCAAGCCTATTTTGCTTAATGTTCCGTTCACGCTGCACTTTACCGCTAAGTAAACAAAGCCGCGCGAGCTATAAACAAAAGATAAGAAAGTCTACGGCCGGTTCGTAGGCACCGACGTGACATTTAACATATTAATTAATAATTGAAAATCTAATAACAAAGTTATTAAAAAATAATAGAGGATTTTTTCCGGTTAGATAAGCCCAAATAGCAGACATCGCCACTACAGCTCATTTACTATATTTCACGTGATCATTCACAAATCTTTCTTAATTAATATCTTGATAATTATTGCGAATATTACAATATTCAAATGTTACAAATGGGTATTTTTATGTTCACCTCAATCCGTACTATGCCTCCATAAAAGCTTCAAAGAATGTTCTGGGACATCCTATATGTATGCATAAAAAGTGACTACAAGTTTTTATACACGCAAACGTGTAAAAATTATATACTTAGGTTTGTAATGAATATAGCATGAAGAAATGTACTTATCACGATTTTTTACAAGCAATTTTTACATCAGCAAAATATACTTTTTGCTATAGCTGAAGAGTAAGCACTGGCAGCTTGGAGATTTTTTGCCTTCTATTTTCTTCGCGATCGTTCAAAGAGAAAAGCAATGTACGAAATTACAGTCCTACCAACTACAGTCGAGATATAGCAATAACCGTAATTATCCATTGATCGACATTACCCCGTTATCCTCTAATAGTTTCAAATTAAAAAGCAAGGCTGACCGTTTCAATTATTTACACATTTTTCTCAGAAAGAAAGATAATCTGTGATGACACTATGAGCACGAGATATTTTTTAACAAACCTATCTAGCTCGAAGAATATCGAAGATGGTTTGGTTCGAGGATTACACACAGCCTAGTTCGGTTAACGAAAAACTTTCAGTGATTGTGTACTGGAATATTTTTTCGATATAAATACAAAACAGCAATGCAATAAATGTCATGTTGGCGAAGTTTACATCGTCAGAAATGAAAAAAAGATTTGATCTTTTGCCCCTAATACAGGAAGTCTCGTCAAGAAGTGCATTATGAAATCGCATTATGATGTATTTTATGTAAATTGACATATATTCCTCGCGTGATATATAACATTCAATAGCGCAATTTCTATTTTAATCGTAACAGGATTAGCATCTTGAATAATTCTGTTTTATAATTATCGAAACAGAATCTAAATTATTTCTTGAAGTAACGCAGACTAGGAAAAATTGTTCAATATAAATTTAGTTTAGAGTAATGAGTAATAAGATAGAAATGTACGCAGTTTGCGCAAACATCCATCCAGTTATTATCTAGTATTAATTCATTTTCATTAGTTGTAAACATACTGAGTGCGAAGTAGACAAGAATTTGATAAAGTTCTATTTAATGTATATAATATATATTATTTACACATTTTTCACAGAAATAAAAATAATCTGTGACTGAAGTGACTCGAGAGTGATTCTTCTTTCGCAGATCTTCCTCGTCGAGTATTTCGGTCTTCGAGTCCAAAATGGTAAGTCCAAATGGTTATGTTCACTCACTTTCTTCGTGAAATCGGAGATCGAAGATCGAATAATTTAGATTCTGTTTCGATAATTATAAAACAGAATTATTCAAGATGCTAATCCTATTACGATTAAAATTGAAAGGTCGAACGAGCTCGCCGAAGGCGGGCGAAGTTCGGCCACAATTATACGAAGGGTCTCGTTCGAAGATGATAGTATAACAAGTGTAGTTGTCTCTATTCTCTCGGTACTTCACAACGTTCAGCGTGTAGAAAAGAGATGGCTCTCCTAGCGACCTCTCTGTAGGGCCCTCGCTTCTCTACGCCATCTACGATCATATAATTTAGAGCAAAGAAGAGTTGTCGTTTCTACTTTCCTAGATGATCCGAGAAACACATACAGCAGTGGGATGGGTAAAGGGATCATCTTCGAGCGAGACCCTTCGTATAATTGTGGCCAAACTTCGCCCGCTTTCGGCGGGCTCGTTCGACCTTTCAATTATACTACGTGTCTCGCTCTCGATGATAGTATAACAAGTGTAGATGTTTAGCGTATACGACAACTCTGTCTTTTTTTTTTTTTTTTTTTTTTACAATGACAGACTATCTTAGGATAGCATCTATAAATTGGTCAGCAGTATTCTGTATCGGCTTATTATAAAACTTAAAAAATGTTTGTGATTGTGTCGACCAACCTGCGGTGCGTCGTATTATATCTATGTCAATACCTCTTTGAAATGCAGCTCACACGGTCGCATGTCGCGTACTATACGC